GATGGGAGACATACCTGATATAGGAATTGTATATAACGTGAGGCCAACTTTAATGTCTGTATTTTACTTAATTTATCCGAAGGAAGGGTTGGAATAATTTTTCGGAGTTGAGTGAAGGCCTGATTCAAAGACTGTGTTCGTTGTCTTTCCCTAACGTTAGCCAAAACCCTCTGGTTTTGCATATCGTCCGTACCGTCAGTCATGTTCAACACTGAGGAGGAATTGCTGGCGTCGAGGCTCTGGTGATCGGCAAACAACTGGTGAAGGGCTGTCTGATGGTCGCCGATAGGCAACGATCGGTCGGTGACTGTCATCCGCTTCTTCACGCGCGACGAACAGTCGGATAAGTGTTTATAACAAACAGTTTTTCGCCGCTTACGGCCGGCGGACGGCTTGTGGTCACCGCCTCCGCCACCGTTGCTGTTGAATAGCTGTGAACCGAGCGCTTCCAAGTCATCGGCGGTCATCATTTCAGATGAAGAACTTTCTGTCGAGTAATCACTTTTAAGAAACAATTCCTTCGCATTTCCGTTCATTTCTCAAACTATTAACTGTTTTTACTGTTTTGGTGGAGATCTTAGGGATCAAAGATGTGCACAAATGCTCAGCCAGTCTTAGACCTAATTGACATCCCATTTCCTCACTCAGAGCAGAGGAGAGAGATAGATAGATAGAGAGAGAGAGAGAGAGAGAGAGGAGCCGGGCGGAGGCACCCATTTCTTGCGGGGTTTCTTCACTTTAGGCTCTTTTACGTGACTTTTTGAATCAGGCCTTCACTCAACTCCGAAAAATTATTCCAACCCTTCCTTCGGATAAATTAAGTAAAATACAGACATTAAAGTTGGCCTCACGTTATATACAATTCCTATATCAGGTATGTCTCCCATCTTTGTTCAAATAATTGTCAACTATTTTGAGTTTTTTTTACTGTATTTTGTCTGTCGGGGACTCGGGAGGGAAGAGGGATATATGATGTGGCGTATAGTGTATATCGTATAGCGTATAGTAATTTAGTATAGGATTTACAGTGAAGCGAGCGATAGTTTGTTTCAAATTTCAAAGAAATTTAAGTCAAGTGAAAGAAAGAAGAGAGAGAGAGAGAGCCTGAGAGAGTGGGAGGGTCTGAAAGTTTGGACAAAGAGATAGGCGAAAGTTACTGTATATGCATATGTAGTCTAAGAATATGTAAATGTGTTAATACTATTGACTCTCTTTATATAAATGCAAGTTTTATTAAACACTCTTTTATAGTACCCGTTATACAGACATATACAACACCGACTCGGGGTATGTCTGGTATTGATTTATTAATACCTCTGAGACCCCACACAAACAATCACTTCCTAACCCATTGTAATGTATATAACTGTTAATGAATTGAGAAATGATTGAATTGTAAAACAAAAACAAATCACAGAAACACTCAAAACAGAGACTAAAAACATAACTAATTTGATTAGACATAAGCGGATAACTTATTAAATATTTTGTCTATACGTCTGGTTATTATTGATCCTCTCTTTCGTCTAAACAATTATTTTTGGCGTTTGTCTGATATCGGGATTCAAACAAGTATTGCACACAATGTCTAGCATTTAATCCCTGTCCGTGTGAAGCAAATTCAGGTGTAAAATAAAAGTCAAAAAGTCTATAGACATAAAAATTGAATTGTGAATAAATATTTAAATTATGGGAAAATTTGACTGAATTTTTATTGCAAACTATTTAGTGGTTTTGCAGTTTAAAACAGAGCAACAATTAATTTAAATTTTTTGTTTGTTTTGTTTGCCTTTTTTCTTGCTGTGAACTTAACTTTTTATTTGTTTGTTTTGTTGGCCAATGGCTTAGAAATTGTTTCGACAAACTTTTAATGCCGTTTCTATACTATATTAACGGAAACACAAAACTAGATTATGATTGAAATGTTTATGTTTGAGATATTCTTATTCAGATTGAGCCGAAAGAGAGGATCAATAATAACCAGACGTATAGACAAAATATTTAATAAGTTATCCGCTTATGTCTAATCAAATTAGTTATGTTTTTAGTCTCTGTTTTG